AAAGTGTGACCCGCTAAATATTGACCGATATTTATCATATATTCTTTGGCCCGATCCCCTTCTTCATGTAAAAATTCGCAGTTTTTGAGCCATAATTGTGGCCTCTGAAGCGACCAGAAAAACGCAAAAAAAATTTCGTGAAGATTGGTCCATAACTGTGGCCTGTATCGTGTTTACAAATTATAATGGACGGACAGACACACATGTCTAGATCGAATCGAGATATGACGATCGGTATACTTAAAGGTGGGTCTAGGACCAATATTTCGCGGCGTTACAAACTTTTGTGGTTCCACAAAGCTATAATACCCCGACAACATAGTTGTGTAGGGTATAAAAATCCACGCCTCTTGTAAGCCTTAACAAAAATATTCTTTAAAAAATCCACGTATTTTTGTTCCACCGATTTTTACCTCTAATATTTCTCATCATACCACCCCCTATTCTCTGGTAGCTCTTAACACACCGCCCTAAAGTTTGTAACAAATTTGCCGTAAAAAATCGAAGCGTATCGACAAAATTGCTTGTTTATGTCAATGTGAATGTGATTCATTAAATTGTTTGAAAGTTGTTGTTTTCTTTATTGCGGGCAAAATTGTAAAAATACCCCCGAATAAAAGGGATAAAACTAGAAACATTGTTAGAAGTGTGATTGAATTTTCCGCTCAAAAAATAAACTAAATTCCTAAATGTTTTGTGAATACGTTCAATAATAAAATTTTAGCACAAAGGAATATAAATACACATACGAAATAGATATAACAATGTAAAATAGATATAAGCTACAGGATTGTTTTGGATGGCAATTAATGGAATTAGGCGCAATCTATTCTTATTTTTTAATAGCTTGAAAAAAATATTTTTTTTTAATCTTAGCTGATCTTAGCCCTTAAAAAATATATATTTTTTTAAGTCCACGGTTCTCTTAGTTCTTGAAAAATATATCTATATACAGTGAATGTAATAAGTATTTTGCCTCAATACAATTTTGACAAATTTCTAATATATACGCCTAAAGCCAGCATACTAAAGATGTAAAATGAATTATGTATGATGGGATATGTTTGTGGACATATTTAGATCTCATTTCTGCAAGAATCACAGCGAAAGGCCTATTGGTCTAGAAGATATCGGCCAAAATCTATACCAACCCAAAATTGATTATCACAAAAAAGTATTTTGCTTTTTATTATTATTTTTGAAAAAATCATTATATAACATACGCTTCGTCTTTTTATAGTTACCATTGCGGGTAACCACATACTAACAGCGATTTGGCGACGATTCCAATGAACCACGGCATTTTTCTCGCGAATATTTTCTCACATTTACGTTCATTACATTCTCCAGCAATATTTCTTTTAATATTTGATAATTTCTCGCCCTAATTTCAAAATGAGAGTATTAAATATAGTCTTCGCGGCTTCGAAACATCCCAAATAAGTTTTGAATAATGAAAAGGAGGTTTTGAAAAAAAATATCGCGAGGACAGGATTTTAAAAACTATTAAAACCAAAATCCGACAAACAAATTATTTAAAAATATATCGCAAAACCACATTTTTCTGACTTTTAAATCTTTATGGTCCATTAATATTGATCTAGGAATCAATATAAGCGACGAAAATGGCAATAAGGAGGTCAGATTCAAAGATATGAACGGTTTTGTGGCAATAGAATTACATCTTATTTCGAAAATAAATAGATCGACCAGTTTATTCACTGCTGTATTTTATTCGCAACTGATGGTGTTGAACGGATGTAAATATTGAATGCGTCTTCGTCACCAGCTACCACAGTTTTTCAAAACGCAATAGTATTTGACGAAGAATGATGTTTTCTCCCAACTTCATGTACTGTTTGTAGATTCTGTTTTTTTAGAACTGTTCCTTTCTTCGAATCTGACATCCTTATTGTTATTTTCATCGCATATATTGGTTCCTAGATCAATATTAATGGACCATAAAGTTTTAAAAGTCAGAAAAATGGGGTTTCGCGATATTTTTTTAAATAATTTGTTTGTCGGATTTTGGTTTTAATAGTTTTTAAAATCCTGTCCTCGCGATATATTTGGCAAAACCTCCTTTTCATTATTCAAAACTTATTTGGGATGTTTCGAAGCCGCGAAGACTATATTTAATACTCTCATTTTGAAATTAGGGCGAGAAATTATCAAATATTAAAAGAAATATTGCTGGAGAATGTAATGAACGTAAATGTGAGAAAATATTCGCGAGAAAAATACCGTGGTTCATTGGAATCGTCGCCAAATCGCTGTTAGTATGTGGTTACCCGCAATGGTAACGATAAAAAGACGAAGCGTATGTTATATAATGATTTTTTCAAAAATAATAATAAAAAGCAAAATACTTTTTTGTGATAATCATTTTTGGGTTGGTATAGATTTTGGCCGATATCTTCTAGACCAATAGGTCTTTCGCTGTGATTCTTGCAGAAATAAGATCTAAATATGTCCACAAACATATCCCATCAAACATAATTCATTTTACATCCTTAGTATGCTGGCTTTAGGCGTATATATTAGAAATTTGTCAAAATTGTATTGAGGCAAAAAAATTGAGAATGATTCGAAAACCGCGAAAAATTTGCAAAAAAAAAAATATTATGAAAAAAAATATTTTGAAAACAAATATTCATTTGTCAAATATTGAAAATTTTCAAAATATTTTATTTTATTCAATTGACATTGTAATGAAACTTTTTTTCTGAGAATGCAAAACAATAATAGAGAAGTATACGCGATCATTGTATGTACACGTCCTCCATGAAATTCACGTACATTTTGGGACAAATGCAAGGATGAAAATCTGAAGATTCAGAAAAGAGTTCCGATTCTAAGACACATGCCCTAGATTATTCTTCTTGAAAATAATAATAATAGGAACATAGGAACATGTTGTTATTGAAGTACCTAAAATGTACCATTATATGGTGGTTATATGCCTAATCGTTGGTCAATGTCTTTAATCGCATATGTGTATCACAGAGAAAATTAAGTTCATATTGAAAGAGAACAACTATAAAAAGCATTTGTTATAACAAAGAGTCTCATGATGTTACATCAATATATCAACTACCGATATATTTAATACCATGAAAAATCGGTGTTAAGATCGAACTTTTGTACTTTCTAATATGTAGATTCTTTAAATCGGCCGGGACATTTATATGGGGACTATGTTACACAGTACGTGTAGTAGATTGGAAAACGGGGGGTAAGAACTTCAACATACTGAAAATTAAACGAGAAATATGTATGGCGCCTTTTTATTACATTAAGCCAAATCCATGATCCATCCATTCCGTCAAATTCTTTACAAAACCGAAATTGGCGCGGGACCCGTATGTAGGAGCTATACAAAATTTGGTCCTGAATAGAAATGTTTCCGCAAATGTGTTTTACCCTTTCAATATCACGGAATGATATATGATATGAATGACATACGATACTACAATGGGTATGGATATATACTAATACCACATGAGAAAATACCGAACAATAAGAGTATATCATTATATGTATATCAATATATGGGGCTACCCGGACCAATTTGCACCAATGTTGATAATTTTTTTGTAAACAGGTTTTCTTCATCCAAAATAAAACATTACAGCACTTCGGCTGAAACACTCCCTAAATGGGGATATCCCGCCGTTAAATGGGGATATCCCGCCGTTAAATGGGGATATCCGAATACTTGAGTCAATATGGAAAATTCTAATTAGGGAGAATTTCTGCCCAATAAGTATCCCTAATATTAGGTTTGGGAAAAAGAAATCCATTAGACCGGTGGAACGATCGAATTTTACAGGTATGTCGTAACATTGTCCAGGAGCTAAAAATTAAACCATTCACACAAAGCTGGATTCAAAAAGAAGCTCAATGTTTGGGTGCCTCACCAATTAACAGAAAAAATGGAATGGATCGAATTTCCATCTGCGAAGCCTTGACCAAACGGAATGAGATACTCTAATTTTTATAAACGGATGGTGACTGGAAATGAGAAATGGATCACGTACGATAACCCTATGCAAAAACGATTGTGGTCAAAGAACGGTGAAGCACCTCAAACGGTGACCAAACCAGGACTAACGACCAGGAAGGTTCGGCTATGCATTTGGTGGGACTGGAAGGGGATTGTTTATTATGAGTTGCTTTCATATGGCCAAACGCTAAATTCTGATCTCTACTGCCAACAACTGTACCGTTTGAAGATAGCAATTGACCAGAATAGGCCAACAGGGGAGGTGTCGTGTTTCACCAGGACAATGCTAAGCCATCTTATGAGTAATACAAATGTATGTGCAAATATAAAATTTATATTTTAAATCGTGAAGGGAGCAACAAAACTCACTCATAAACATCAAATTCGGTTTTGTAATGTTACCCTATGTGTGCTCTGATAAATACCACGATGTTACAAAAATATATACAAATCACCTTATGATGGAGGGTATAAAAACAACCTAAAATGCCGAAAATTATACATCATCAATATTGTTAGGCAAGACAACGTTTGCCGGGCCCGCTAGTATGTATAAAAAATTAAGCTTCTTTTAAATCGACGCTTCTTCTCACCTGGTCGTTGAAAAAATATTCGGAAATCACATACACACCACTTATATTGTTTTCGTATGTCCTTTTACACACAATACATCATACAGATTCATGTTTTATTTATTAGTATTAGTTTGTATATAAGATTATATATAAAGACATCACAATAAATACTAGTAAATATATATTTGACGTATTTAAATATATTTTTGTTTTGTTGTTGTTATTTTTTGTTTTTGTTTCATTTCAACATAAGCAATTGATACAGAATCACATAGAAATAATAGAAGAACATGCATACAGATACAGTTACATAAGAGATAATGGATAATGAACAGCTTGCCCTGCTGTTCACTATCACCTTTGGTTCGGGTAAAGAGAGTAGACCGTTTGGAGATTCATAGTAAATTTACCATGGCAAATTTAGGCTTCTTCAGTTTCAGCTGCTTCCAATTGTTTGCGGCTGGGCTGAAGTTTTGCAAAAAGTAAAGTGAAGTGAATTTAATTAAAATTCAATCAAAATGTCGGCATTACCCCATTGTGTTAATTGTAGTGCATGAAATCGGACTTACCTTTGGTTGCATCAGAATGAATGGTAGTTCAGCGCATAATTCACCACCCAAGGCACCCAAAAATAGTTTAACCTTAACGGCATAGGAAACAATTATGCCAAAAGCATCACGAGCATCTGGACTGGCAATCCTGGAAATGGACACGGAATTATAAAAAAAATAATTTTTTTTTCTCAAGGAAAGGCGTGGATTTTTTAAAGAATATTTTTTCAAGGACTATTGAAGGCGTGGATTTTTTAAAGAATATTTTTTCAAGGACTATTGAAGGCGTGGATTTTTTAAAGAATATTTTTTCAAGGACTATTGAAGGCGTGGATTCTTAACGGAATATTTTTTCAAGGACCATTCAAGGCGTGGATTTTTAAAAAAATATTTTTTCAAGGACCATTCAAGGCGTGGATTTTTAAAAAAATATTTTTTCAAGGACCATTACAGACGTGGATTTTTAAAGGAATATTTTCTCAAAGACTATTAAAGGCGAGGATTTTTTAAAGAATATTTTTTCAAGGACTATTGAAGGCGTGGATTTTTTAAAGAATATTTTTTCAAGTACTATTGAAGGCGTGCATTTTTTAAAGAATATTTTTTCAAGGACTGTTGAAGGCGGCGATTTTTTAAGGAATATTTTGTCAAGGACTATTGAAGGCGTGGATGTTTTAAAAAATATTTTGTCAAGGACTATTGAAGGCGTGGATGTTTTAAAAAATATTTTGTCAAGGACTATTGAAGGCGTGGATTTTTTAAAGGATATTTTTTCAAGAACTATTGAAGTCGTGGATTTTTTAAAGAATATTTTTTCAATGACTATTACAGGCGTGGATTTATTAAAGAATATTTTTTCAATGACTATTACAGGCGTGGATTTATTAAAGAATATTTTTTCAAGGACTATTACAGGCGTATATTTTTAAAGGAATATTTTTTCAAGGCCTATTACAGGCGTAGATTTTTAAAGGAATATTTTTTCAAGGACTATTACAGGCGTGGATTTTTAACGGATTTTTTGAGTTTCAATCATTTTATTCCTTAAAATTTCTACTCACAATGTTGTTGAAGCCAATGAGGTATTCTTGTGTTTAATATCACCCTCGACAGCGACACCAGGACGATCACAATTTGCCGCCAAATTCGGCACCAAATACATAACCTTTTGCAGGCTAGAGCCAGGATTCAAAGGACAACCCTCAGCACTTTCCGAAAATGCAATTGTATTACGGAATTGCCCATTTTGGAAGAGCACCACATCGATACCCTGCTGCACCATAGCCTTAATTTTCTTCACAACCTTATTGGAATTGTTGCGGACACAAATATTTATGGCAATCTTCTCCCCGTGATGATACAATTGTTTATCCAATGTCACCTCCAGTTCCAATTCTCCAGGCGACAACAGGAAATCTTTACGTACCACTGTGCACGGTTGAATACCCTGCTTGGTGGGTGCATATTGTACCTTGCGTATACCCAAATTAATGGTACTACGGCGATGCGTACGATCACAATCATTTTCGCCAGCAAACACCTTAACGAAATATTGGACACCACAGGGCTGGGTGTTGTCGTTGGCTTTTTGTTGCAACACCACCGATGCCGGAGAACTTGGTGGCATTTCCATAACGAAGGGGAATGCATTCGAACCCAATTTCTTGAGAAGACGTTCCTGCATTTTCGTCAGTGTTATATCCACTTTTTGTTCGGGATGGACTTGTTGCGAAACTAAAATTAGCTCCTTGGAGAAGCGTAGGCCAATCAGCTCGTCATCCTCACGGCCGTAACGGAAATTGCAAATTAATTGCACGAAAATTTTGCGATTCTGACGCACATATTCATCGTCCAAGACAATGATGCCATCTGTTGGAGTAAAAAGAGAAAACGAGAGTGAGAGAGAGAGGATTGTTAGTAAAATGAGGTTAGAAATACTCGTACTAAAAATATCTTCCGGAAAATATTGCTACTTTTCTCAGAGATATGATTGTTCCACAGCATTGTATGCAAATCGAATATATTATAAACATATTATAAAGAATCGGCGACTGGACTAATAAAATATTACTGGGTTCCCTGGGTTATATTCCAAATACGTATGTATTTAATTTCGAAGTCGACTTTGGAGTCGAAATTTTAAACAATTGGAGAAATTGCCATTTTTATAGATGATTCGAATTTCAAGTCCGAAAACTGATAGATTGAAGATATACCGATTTTTCGGATTTTTCATTCCTTTTATATAAAATTTTAAGTTATCTAAATTTTTCGGGGATGTGCGCAAAATGTTCCGATGTACACAATTAGGGTCAATTTGAAACCTGATTAATTCCTGTATGAGATATACCAATTTCAAAAATGTTAACCTTTTCAGAGTGAGCCAGCGATACGACTAGCCTTCGAGAGTAGTAACAAGCCAGACAGATGAAAATTCTATATCGACCCCAAAAATTATGAAATGAGCGTAGTACAATGTCCTTAGATATATTAAACTGATATTTTATTAGTTCTAAGAATTAGAAATCAGAAAAATAAAACGACGTTTAGTGCGGCCGGTTATATTCTCTACAAAATTTAAATCACTTTCCTACATTGGCAAATTATCCAAATCTTCTTTTCGCGAGGTGAATGTTTACGCCATAAATTAAAAATTTGGTCACTTTCGGTTTTGGTTGACTTGATCCTCGGAACATTCACCAATCTTCATTTAAGCAGCCATTCTAAGTAGTTTCAGATCACCTTCACCATGTAAAATGTGTGATGTTCTGCATATTATAATGGTCTCTAGAGCGACTAGAAGTCCTCTCAATATCATCGACATTAGAATCGGAATGTGATATAACCAATTATATTGGTGGTAGCAGGACTATTTGGGTATTAATTTACAAAAATTTAATATGCGAATGTATCCCTGAAACACAACATGGATAAATGAAATAAGAACAAATTTTCAGTATAGGATCAATATAGGGCCCAACCGAATCGGGTGGGGACTCAAAGTCCATGTCCGAAAACGAAATTAAAATGATGATGTTAGATGAGTAAAGAGGCAGATCAGGAAGTGTGCGAGGATATTTCTAAGCTCATAAGTAAAATAAACAATTATCTGGAGCACAAGAGTAAATATTAGCTAGGCTCCACCAGCGTTGTCCTTTGTCAGCAACAAGGGACAGCAAAGTCAGTTCTAGTTTCAAGAAGACCAGAAGTGGAACAACAAACACTGCTGTTCAATATCCATCTAACGCTATGGTAGACCGGAAGTACTATAGAGGAAAAATATGTTGAACGGTGATCGACGAAGAAACGAGGTCTACTACACAGTCATCCTGCCATCTGAGCGTTTCGTGAGAAGGAATCGGGCAAAAATAAGATATTGAATCACTTGCTGTAAAATGTTGAGGAATCACAATTCAAAATGTTGAGGACTTTGATCATGATTTTCAACCAAATTGGCTGTAATTTTATATTTTATATTCTTATTGAATAGAAAATCTCCCCAAACAAAATTATCAATACTGGCCCATGTTTTAGGGTAGCCCTCTTTATGGGAATTTTGGGGACTTTGAATACGTTTTTCAATCGAATTGGCATTAATTTGTTATTCGGGATCTCATTATGTAAGCAAATCTTCTTTCTAAAAATTGGTCCATTTTTGACAGTAGCCCACATTTAACGGTACCTCCCAAATTTCCGTATTTTCGAGAGTTAGGACATGTATTTGAACCAAAATGGCTGATTTTGGTATTTGAGAAATCATTATGTAGCAAATCTTCTTTCTAAAAAACTATGCAGATCGGTCCATTTTATAATGAATAATGAAACCATCCGAATTTCAGTGTACTAGACAGTTTGGGGACATTTGTGATTCGAATTTACTTTACTTTGATATTTTGAATTCTTATTGGATAGAAAGTCGCCCTAATAAACAATTTCAATATTGACTCATTTTCGGGGTTTACTCCATATAACGACACCTATTAGGCATTTTGAAGACATTGGACACGTTTATTCAACAGTATTGGCTTTAATTTGATATTTTGCTTTATCATGGCGTGTAAAATTTTCCAATCAAAAACTTTTGAATTTCGGAATATTTGAAGGTTTTAGCCGCATTTTCAAAACGAAGTAGCTGCAATTTGCCATTATTAGATCAGCCACACCATATAAAGTACCTTCCAAATGTCGTTATATTGGGAAGATTAGGCACGTTTTGATATAATATGATATTTTGGATTTACCCCCTGTCACAACTATTTTTATAGATAAATATTTATATCAGTTTTAGTGGTTCCGCCCCATTTTCGAATTTCTTAAGGTTTTATCCGCATTTTCCAACCGAAGTGGCTGTAATTTGTCATTTCGAATTCTTGGAGGGTGAAAAATTTTTGTAAAGGTTTGAATCGCATTTCCTACCTACATAAATACAGAAAATTATAAAAAATAGGGCCATATTTTGTCATAGTCCCCCATATGAAGGTTCCCTCTCAATTTCCCTATATTTTTACCCTTCACCATAGTATAGTTATAATATAAGTTATTAAGTTTCTTTTCCCGTTTGTAGCTCATCGAAATAATTATTTCCGGCCCTATAAAGACATGTCCGACTGCCTTTTGTAATCACTCTAAACGAATTGAGATATATCGTCAAATAGCATAGAGTTTTCTTTTGTCTGCATTGTCTAGTTCAGAGATAAGGCATAGTCCCCATATAAGGGTACGCCTCAATTTTCGGTATTTTAGAATTTTTATGCGCGTGTTTCCACTGCATTCGCTGTAATTTGGCACTGTACGTTCTTATTGAGTACCAACTTACTCCACTAAAATTTATAAAGATAGGCCCACTTTTCCGTATAGGCCCCATATTTTGGGAATCTTGAGCACGATTTTCAACCGAATTTAGTGAAATGTAGTAAATCGGGATCATATTGAGTACCAAATCATTCCACTAAAAATTATAAATATCGGTCCACTTTTTCTGGTAGTGCCCATATAACAATATCCCCCAATTTTCGGTATTTTGGGGCTCTTAAGCGCATTTGTCAACCGAATTGAGTGACAAAAATCACTTGAATAAAAATTCTAAAGACAGGTCTACTTTTCCGGATAGGCCTCATATATTGGTTCCCCATTTTTCTGTATTTTTGGTATTTTTGAGCGCGTTTTACAATCGTATTCGGTGTAATTTGAAACTTTCGGTTCTTATTGTGTACTAATCTCTAAATTAGTCTCAAAAGTCCACTCGAATTCCCTATAATTTGGTATTTATACCCTACACAACTATGTTGTCAGGGTATTATAGCTTTGTGCAGCCCGAAGAGTTTGTAACGCCGCGAAATATTGGTCCTAGACCCACTTTTAAGTATACCGATCGTCATATCTCGACTAGCTGAGTCGATCTGGACATGTGTGTCCGTCCGTCCGTTCGTATGTCCATTATATTTTGTAAACACGATACAGGCCACAGTTATGGACTAATCTTCACGAAATTTTGCATGTAGGATGGGTTCGGCCTAAAGAAGACCCCTATTGTTTTTGGTAAAGATCGGATAATAATTAGGGGATGAAATGGACCAAATACTTAATTTTTGTCGGTTTTTCTGGTCGCTCCAGAGGCCGCAATTATGGCACAAACATCTCGAATTTTTAAACGAAGAAGTGTATTGGACCAAAGAATATGCAAACCTGTTTTGATAAAGATCGGTCAATATTTAGCGGTTCAAATGGACCCTGACTTTTGTGTGAAAAATTACAAAATTTGTATTCTTTGGCGTATATATTTACTCCTGAAGGACATAGAGCCGGGAAGAGGAGTGGTTGGCCTTTAAATTGATACCAATTATGTTGTGGTATGTACTCGGATGTGGGGTATTATTTAGTAACCCATAACCACACTAGAGGGCGGGAATATAGCACTGATCGCTTTGAAATTTTCCATGGAGTTCCAGTTATGGTCAAGGACAACGCCTACAATTTCGGTGATGATCAGATAACAATTCGGGATGAGTGGAGCGAAAACGTTTTTGTTTGTTTTTGTTTCGAGACGATCTATAGGCCACAATTGTAAACCGAACATCACAACACCACACACGGTGAAGGGAAACTGGACAAGTAATTAGAGGGGCTGAATATTAGTAATATTCTGAAAATATGTCATTGTAAGCAAGTGGTGCTGTTGAATTCTAATCGACAAAGAGGGTGTAAATATCAAGAAATATTGCCCAGGCTCGGAATAAAAATCCGCAGAAAGTTAGAGTTACGTGGTAGTTGTGTAGGGTATCGTATGGTCGGCCCCGTCCGACTATACTGCTCCGCTCACTGGTTTTTAGTCGCATTTGGTAACAAATCTCTCACTATCTTTCAAACATTATTTATATTGACCCCCTTTTAATATTATAAGCGTTAACTGATTCGTTAACGTATTCCACCATAGTATGGGGGATATTCTACTACTACTGCTAAGTTTGTGGAAGCACAAGACGATGTAGTCGATTTAGCCATCTGTTGTAATCATTTTGTCTTCGGGGGATATCGAAATAAAAAAAAAAACTAGAATGTCAGGTTCGTGTATGAACTATATCGGCCTGCATTTAGGCCTAACCCCTATATAATATATACATATTTTATGTATAGGACGAAGAAATGTATTGTGATACAAAACGAAAATGTTAAGTACGAAACTGAGCTATACCAGTCCTGCATTAGGCAGTTCCATGTGGGGTTTAATTTGAAGTAACTGTCAGTATACCTATGCTTTTTCCACTTGTTAAACTTTAGTTAAAATATTAGTCCATGTTTGGAAATATCTGTTTCGTTTTTTCGTTTCGTTTGACAGTTTTAACCGCATTTACCCAACGATACGGTTGTCATTTGATATTTCGGGATCTTGAGTGGTTTATAATACATTTGCGAACATTTTCGTATAAAATAGAACCCGATACATGTTTCATATTTTGTAGGTTTCATATCTGTAATTTGCCATTCCGAATTCATGGCGGATAAGAATTTTTTTCTTTGTGTAGTAAATATTCTTCATTAAAATTATTTAACAATTTTTTAAACATTGTTTTCCCGACTTGTCTCCTCTCAAATATATAACCTTGAGTTTGTGGTATTTTCCTTTACTTTTCTAATTCCGCTTCCCACCCATTTAATTGGGTTAGCAAATACCAGGCACGTTTTACATTAATATGGTTTCAATGAAACCATTTGAATTCCACAAAACCACTTTTCTGTGTAATTACCAAGTACACTCGATTCGTATTCACTTATAAACACTTATTTTGTAATAGCCATAGTCAGCCGGCCAAGCAGGCAACCTACCAACTGGTTCCACTTGTGTCACCGAATCCACAAATTCACGCCTGTTCATATACAGGGTGATCATGTTATTGGGCGATGCCTTTTTGAAAACTTTAAAATTTACAACCATTTTGATAGAGTTTTTTTTCTTTTTTCTAATTTAAATTTTGAATTTCACCAAAAACTCAAAAAACTAACGCGAATTAATAATAAAAACAGAAATAAATAAAAATATTGTTCGTTCGTTTAAATGAGTGTGTGTGGGTGGATGGGTAGATTGGTCGGTGTATAGGAGGAGTACAGCACGTTGGCAACAAATCTCTAATTTTTATAGATTTCTTTGTTTTTTCTTGTTTTGATTTCTTTCGTTTTTCTTCTGATTTCCAAATAAAATGTTAGTTGCACAGCAGCAGCACTTATATTCACGATTTCTAAAATGACTTTGAATTAGTTTTGGAAATTAGACCAACCTTTATACTGTTTTCTATGTTCTATGGTTATTTATTTAATTAGTTTTTCCAATGTGGACAAATGGCGAAAATAACGATGCGAATGACGACGACAAAGAATGACGCGAAGAAGAGGAAAAGAATCTGAAAAAAAAAATTAAAGGTGAAATGTGTAGGTGGCAGCGACTATTCTCATACCATTTTATTATTTCAAAAACTGCATTATTTTTAAATAATTGAATATATTGATTCGGCATTTTGGAACTTTATATCTATAATTAGACATCATTGAGAGGGACCGTATAGTCGAACATGAACGACCCTACCCCTGGTTCGCTGTATTCTGTGCAGATTTTCGTGATTGGACAATATTCAAATAAATGACGTTTACTACATTTATTACATTTTATACAGGTATATGACGTTTTCGACGTTCACATCTTTTTGACAGTCGAAAACCTAAGAATTCGTCACACGGACCATCAATCAATGCTCAGACGAAACGGCTGAAGCTAGAGGTTGGACATTTTAGGCTGGGTTTTTGGAAATTCGTACTAGAACTGCACGAAAAGTACTTAATATGGTACCATTTGTATTTGGGGAACAGTAAAGCTAAAACTCTGAAATTTGCATTCTGTGTCATTGATGGAGTGTTGGATATATGTACCAAAGGGCATTCGAACTATACGTATGAGAAAAGTATAAAATGTACTAAATTTAGTACAATTTCGTAGCGTAGGATAGAGCTAAAAACTTGAAATTTGGAATGAGAATTAAGGTTGAGAAGTAGGGTCGATATAAGGCCCTATATCTGGTACAAATTTAATTCGGAGTTACAAATAGAGATATAATCCTGAAATTAACCGTCGGAGTGTAGTATTGGGATATCTTCGTAGTTTTGGAAATGTTTTACTTATGTGTACGAAGTACAAAATCGTACTATAATTAGTACAATTTGGATTTGGGTGAACTTATAGAGCTGGAATCTTGACATTTGGAGCTAGGATCATTGTTGGGAGTAGAATTGAGCTATATAGGAAGCTTTAGAACTAATGTGTACTAAATGTGGATTTGAGTTTATGGATGTAGTTTTGGAAATTCATACTTATGAGTACTAAATTTGGTACAATTTAAATTTTGGGTGAATTGATAGAGCTGAGATTCTGAAATTTGGAGTTAGGATCATTATTGAGGCGTTGGGTTGGAGTATGTGTGAAGTTTTGGAAATTTGTACAAATTGTACCGTATTTTGATTTGGGTGAACCAATAGAGTTAGAATCGTGAAATTTAAAGTTAGGATCACTGTTGGGGTGTAGGAAACACTAAATTTGGCACAATTTGGATTTAGAGTGAACCGAAATCTAAGAGTCTATCCTGCAGATATCCCGTAGATCTTCCGCCTGATGGTTTTGTGGCTTCTAAAGAGGTAAGTCTAAAAAAAGAACTGAAAAAGAGAATTTCCTAGAAAGTCTTTTGAACATAGACCAGTAAACCTACCAAATGTTTCAAGAACTTCAATTTATGAATGACAAAAATATTTACTTCGAGGTCTACTAAGACCGGATTAAGGTCGCATGTAGTAAGAAAGCCCTTCTTATAAACGATACTTCTGCAAGGACTTCAATTTATGAAGGACAGGTAGAATATTTACTTCGAAGTCCTCCAAGACTGCTTTAGGGCCTTACCACCATAGAGGAACTCTAAAAGCGTTCACCTGTCATATAAGAGACTTATGGAAGAACTTACGATCAAAGACGATCTGAAGATGTTTGTCCGGCCCCTGAAGTCTGGTAGAATGTATTCTAACTGAATTTTTCTAAGAAGGACTTGACGACACTGAAGTCCTTTTCAAAGTTTTGAGCTATTGGGAACCTATGCAAATTAAAACCAGTGAGCGGAGCAGTATAGTCGGACGGGGCCGACCATATGATACCCTACACAACTTCCACGAAAAACTAACTTTCTGTGGATCTATATTCTGAGCTTGGGCAATATTTCGCGATATTTGAACCTACTGGACCAACTAGAGGCCGACAATTATAACTAATGCTCAGTACAGCCCTTCTAATTATTTGTCGAGATTCCCTTCCC